ACCTCGTCATTGCCATCCTTGACCTCTACCGACCTAACAAGCCCGGTGTCGGCAATGTGTCCAAGTACTTCAAGGACATCCTCAAGAAGCTCACTGAGCTCGAGTCCAGGCAGACTGCCAAGGTCTCCCTCAAGGCTCGTGAGGTCCTCATTCAGTGCGCTATGCCCTCGCTTGAGGAGCGTACAGCACAGATGGAGCACATCCTGCGCTCTTCCGTCGTTGAGTCTCGCTACGGCGAGAGCGGATGGGACCACCGTGAGCCCAACTTTGAGGTCATCAAGGAGGTTGTCGATTCTAGGTACACTGTCTTTGACGTGTTGACCCAGTTCTTCGTCCACTCTGATCCCTGGGTTGCTCTTGCTGCCCTGGAGGTATATACTCGCCGTGCTTACCGTGCGTACCAGCTCCAGAACATCAACTACCACAATGAGGGCGAGCAGCAATGCTTCCTTTCCTGGGACTTCATCCTCCGCAAGGTCGGTGAGGCGGAGTACGGTCTCGCCGTAGAGCCTTCAGAGCCTGGTACACCAAGCACCCCAGGATTTGAGCGCCCGCCTCGCATCCAGTCCCTGAGCGACATGACCGCATGGCAAAACCGCTTCGAGGGTGAGCCCACCAGGAAGGGTGTTGTCGTCCCTGTTGACTTCCTTGATGATGCCGACGAACTCATCAGCAAGGCTTTGGACATTTTCCCCAACCTTGGCAAGGAGAAGAAGACTGGTACTGGCCTAAGGGAGGGCTTGACCATGAAGCGCACTCCTACCACTGGTGTCAACGAGCCCAAGCACAGTGATGAGCTCACCGGTGTCCTCAACGTTGCTGTCCGCGATATTGAGGGCAACGACGACAAGGAGATCCTCGACCGCATCCTGCCTATTGTCGAGGACTTCAAGACGGAGCTTCTGTCGCGCCGTATCCGCCGCATCTCCTTCATCTGCGGTCACAAGGACGGAACTTACCCCGGCTACTACACTTTCCGTGGACCCAACTACGAGGAAGATGCCAGTATCCGTCACGTCGAGCCTGCTCTTGCCTTCCAGCTTGAGCTTGGCAGACTCTCTAAGTTCAACATCAAGCCAGTCTTCACGGAAAACCGCAATATCCACATTTATGAGGCTATTGGCAAGGGTGCCGAGAGTGACAAGCGCTACTTCTTGAGGGCGGTCGTCAGATCTGGCCGTCTCCGAGAGGAGATTCCTACCGCTGAGTACATGATCTCTGAGACGGATAGGTTGATGACTGACATTCTGGATGCTCTGGAGATTGTTGGCACCTCGCAAGCTGACATGAACCACATCTTCATCAACTTTTCTCACGTCTTCCCTCTCAACCCCACTGAGGTCGAAGAGGCCATTGGCGGTTTCTTGGAGCGTTTCGGTCGACGACTCTGGCGCCTCCGTGTCACTGGTGCTGAGATCCGCATCATTGTGACTGACCCTCAGACTGGCATTCCTTACCCACTCCGTGTGATCATCACCAACACCTCTGGATACGTCATCGAGGTGGAGATGTACGCTGAGCGCAAGTCTGAGAAGGCTGGCAAGTGGCTCTTCCACAGCATTGGCGGAACCAACAAGATTGGTTCGCTCCACTTGCAGCCAGTCTCTACTCCTTACCCCACCAAGGGTGCCCTTCAACCCAAGAGGTACAAAGCCCACCTTATGGGTACTCAGTACGTGTACGACTTCCCAGAGCTCTTCCGTCAAGCCACCGAGAACAGCTGGATCGAGGCCATCAAGAAGCAACCCTCGCTCCGCGAGACTCAGCCAGCCAAGGGAGAGTGCCTCGAGTACTACGAATTGGTTCTTGATGACACTGAGAACCTTGCTGAGGTCAACCGCGACCCTGGCCAGAACAACATTGGTATGGTCGGTTGGATCGTGACTGCCAAGACGCCCGAATACCCCCGTGGCCGTCGCTTCATCATCATCGCCAACGACATCACCTACAAGATTGGTTCCTTCGGACCTGCGGAAGACAACTTCTTCCACAAGTGCTCTGAGCTCGCACGTAAGCTTGGCATTCCCCGAATCTACCTGTCTGCCAACTCCGGTGCACGAATTGGTCTTGCCGAGGAGCTCATTCCCCACTTCTCCGTGGCGTGGAAGGTCCCTGAAAAGCCCGAGGCTGGTTTCGACTACCTCTACTTGACCCCCGAGAAGTACGAGCACTTTGTTGATGGCAAGCGCAAGGATGTCATTTGCGAGAAGGTCGAGGATGGTGGCGAGACTCGCTACAAGATCACTACCATCATTGGTGCTGAGGATGGTCTCGGTGTTGAGTCCCTCCGTGGCTCTGGTCTCATTGCTGGTGAGACATCAAGGGCTTACGAGGACATCTTCACAATCACTTTGGTCACTTGCCGTTCAGTTGGTATGTATTTCGATTACGATTTTTGCAACAACTTACTAACACTTGATAGGTATCGGTGCTTACCTTGTCCGTCTCGGTCAGCGTGCCATCCAGATCGAGGGCCAGCCAATTATTCTCACTGGTGCTCAGGCTATCAACAAGCTGCTCGGTCGTGAGGTCTACACCTCCAACCTCCAGCTTGGTGGCACGCAGATCATGTACCGAAACGGTGTTTCACACTCGACTGCCGGTGATGATTTCGAGGGTGTTTCCAAGATCGTCAAGTGGCTGTCTTATGTTCCCGACAAGAAGGGCAACCCTGTCCCGATTTCTCCTTCGGCTGACGCCTGGGACCGTGACATCACCTACTACCCCCCTGGCAAGTCTGCCTACGACGTCAGGCATCTCATTGCTGGAAAGGAGGACGAAGATGGCTTCCAATCTGGTCTCTTTGATCGCGGTTCGTTTGAGGAGACTCTTGGTGGCTGGGCTAAGACTGTTGTCGTCGGTCGTGCTCGCCTCGGTGGCATCCCCATTGGTGTCATCGCTGTCGAGACCCGCTCGGTTGAGAATGTCACGCCTGCCGATCCCGCGAACCCAGACTCGATCGAGCAAGTTACATCTGAGGCTGGTGGTGTCTGGTACCCCAACTCTGCATTCAAGACTGCCCAGGCTATCAAGGACTTCAACAACGGTGAGCAACTGCCGCTGATGATCCTTGCTAACTGGCGTGGTTTCTCTGGCGGTCAGCGCGACATGTACAACGAAGTCCTCAAGTACGGTTCGTACATTGTCGATGGCCTCGTCAAGTACCAGCAGCCCGTCTTCGTATACATTCCTCCATTCGGCGAGCTCCGTGGTGGATCATGGGTCGTCGTCGATCCTACCATCAACCCTCAATTCATGGAAATGTACGCCGACGAAGACTCTCGTGGTGGTGTTCTCGAGCCCGAAGGTATCGTCGGTATCAAGTACCGCAAGGAGCGCCAGCTCGACACCATGGCCCGCAACGATCCCGTCTATGGTGAGCTTAAGCGCAAGCTGAACGACAAGGACACACCAGAGGCCGAACTCAAGGAAATCAAGGCCAAGATGAATGAGCGCGAGAAGTTGCTTCTGCCCATCTACGGCCAGATTGCTATTCAATTCGCCGACCTTCACGACCGCGCTGGTCGTATGCAAGCCAAGGGTGTCATCCGAAAGGGACTTCGCTGGCAAAACGCCCGCCGCTTCTTCTACTGGCGCCTCCGCCGCCGTCTCAACGAGGAGTACATCCTCAAGAAGTTCGCCGCTGCTGCCTCGCCAACACACGAGAGCCCCTTGGCCGACCCAGCCACCCGTACTCGTGGCTTCGAGATGCTGAAGCACCTGTCCAGCATCCCCAACTGGGAGCAAGACGACATGGCCGCTGCCATGTGGTACGAGGAGAACAGGCCGTTGGTTAGCGAGAAAATTGAGCAACTCAAGACCGACGGTATCGCGGATGAGATTGCACAACTCATGCGCAAGGACCGTGAGGGTGGCTTGAAGGGTGTTATCAGCTTGCTCAGCACGCTACCGACAGGCGAGAAGGAAGAGGTACTCAAGATGTTGAGCAAGGCGTAATTGTGCGTTTTTTTTACGTATTCTTTTTCGCTTTTGATGCGCTTACGGCATGGCATGGCATTTTTATGAGATGTTTATGCTTCTTTTTTCTTTCGGATGTGGGGTAAATGACTGGGACGGCGATAGTGTAACTTTAGCGTTGTTAGTGCGCGAGCTTTTTTGGGAAATTTTCTACTCTCACTATCAATTAGTTTGAGAGAATGAGAGGGGAAGCAAAGCAGTTTTCATGGGAGGGATAGATGAGGCAGGGAGGAGGCTGTGTTGGGAGGCACATGTTTTCTCCTGGTCCTTTTCTGTTTAATACATGTAGCTAAATCAAACTTTTCAAATTAGTTGTTGTAGTGTATTTGTACTGTACAAAATAGTTATTATTAATAATTTATCAGATGATAGAACTTATACATAGTCCACTCAGCAATCAATTGCCAAGCGCAGCGAGAAGTGCCTTGTGAATATGTAGAGTGAAGACAGTGGGCCCAAACCTACACTCAACTCAATACCTACATCCATACCAAATCCCCCACCAAACCCCTCTAACCCTCCTTTTTCTCCCCATAGTCCCACACCCCTCTCCCCTCCACCCCAATTCCGATCGGTCCGAGAGAAGAGAAAAGACATCCTCCGGATCACGAGGTATGAGGCGACGCGCGCAGATCACCTAACCTCTCTCTTTCTGTAAAGACTCCACTTTTTCCCGTCTCCGAGCGGGGTCATTGTTCCAACGGACGCCCCCCTCCCCTCCAAACCCATGCATGCAGATACGTCACTAGGCCGCAAAGCTGTTTTAGAAGAAAAAAAATCTCCGGTGAGGGAGGTGAGGTTAGCTTTTCTTCTTCTTCTTCTTCTTCTTCTTCTTCTTCTTCTTCTTCTTCTCTTCTTCCTCAGCTCTACTTTTTTTTTACGGTTATCAAGACGTACTATAACACGACGCTCAATTGACGGTCTCGCACTACATACACATCCGTGTACGTTCTCACATTGCTACAATCCATCCACGTACCCCATCCAGACAGGAAAGAGCAAGAAAAAGAGAAGAGCAAAAAATGGTCTACACAATCGTCGTTCACCTCGTCGCAAAAGACGACGCAGAATGCATCCGCAAGCTCAGCGCCAAGCTCGTCGAGGCCAGCCAGGTCTACAGCCAGGACAAGGAGACGCTGAGTTGGTTCGTCATGCAGGATACAAAGGAGCCGCGCAAGTTTTGTATCGTGGAGAGGTATGCACAGGAGAGTGTATGTTATTTCCCTTTTTCTCCTTCTTTTTTTTCTCCTTCTTTTTTTTCTCCTTCTTCCCCCCCCCCTTCCACCAACCCTCATCAAGAAAAGAGAGAGAGAGAGAAAGTTTTTTGCACGTGATATACACAGTATACGTACTAATACATGAATGAATGCACAGTCCCAACAATACCATCTCAACAACCCTTACTGGAAGACATTTGACCCTTACGTCATCCCGTTGCTGGCGGAACCGATGGATTTGAGGCGCTTTGAGGAGCTGGATACGAGTGTGAGCAAGGCGAATGCGCATTATCATGAGGATGCGGTGAGGACGGAGACGAGTTTGGGGGATATGTACAAGGGGACTGATGCGTAGGGGTGTTTTTGTTGTGTAAACAATATTGAATGAATGAATGAATGGAGTGGTTTATGACGGGTGGTACAAGTGGAAAAGCGAGAAATATGTGTGAATATGGGTTTTTGGGTATGGGGGGGTACCAGGTATGTTATTGGAATGAATGGAGAGTTGGGGCACAACGATGTGAAAACACCATATGAAATGATCAAAACGCTCGAAACTAGTCGATTCTGATTTATGCGTACAACTACATGTTTGGAGACCCTCATTTCATAATCTTGGTAACGCGTACACTGTTCCCATCATCACCCGTCTCAATCCCATCTAACTCGTCCATAGCCTTTCCCGTAGCACGACGAACAGATTCCGGATCCTGGTCCAGAGCTTCAGCCTGCACCGCAAAAGAGTGTTTCAAATGATCCAAAGACTCTGCAACATCACCTTTCACAGCGCTCTGAGGCGTCGCCGCCTGCCACTCGCTATGCCGCTCCCGCCAATCCGGACCCAGGATATCAACAAGATTGATAGAAGCCCTACGATTAATCTTCCTGCGCATACGCGGATGCCACATATGATGATGCACCATTCCCGAGGCGAAGAGCTGCGGTTCCCGAAAGAGCGGACTGCCCCAGATTCTGTTGACTTCGCGGATGTACTGGGCGTAAGGACGGGTGTTGACGCGCTCCATTATCCTGTTTTCTTTGATGCGTGAATGGCTCCGACCGAACATGATTACGAATTGCTCCTGGAGGACTTTGAGAACGGTGTGGTAGTGCACGTATACACCGAGATCGCGCAGCTGGACTACGGTTTGAAGGCCGGTACTCCATCCTAGGCGTCCGATGAGATGGTTTTCGAGTAAGCGGCGGCGGTAGTGTTTCTTTGCGAATTTGGAGTTAAGTATGTTTTGTTCCAGGGTGGCGTTGGGAAGTAATCCGGCTTTGAAACCCCATTTAATGAGCCCTTGGATGAGTGAGGGCTGGAAGATTTGTCTGACCGGATGATATTTGTTCTGTCGTTGTGTGACCGCAACGGGAAAGTTGAAGTAGCGGTTCGGCTCTGGATGGAAAGCACGCAACTTTGCGGTCGCTGGTTTCAGAAAAGGCGACTTGGGTAGTGTCGCGAATTGGAGGTGGCTCCTCGGCGCGTACCAGCAGAGAAGCCAGAGGAGAAGGCGGCGTAGCTCTCTCAACCTGCCCTCCATGCCGAATCGGCGGATGATCTCGCGCCAGTGGAGCGGAGAGATGGCTCCCATTCCCATCTCAAGGATCATCATGAAGGTACGAGTTACAAAGCGGAGGTCATCGTACGTCTTTTGGGGAGAAGCAACAGGCCTGTGCCCTCTATTCCGTCGACGCAGTAAGCCTTTGATCGCCATGATTGACTCCGGTGTCAACATGATATTCTTAGCGCGCATGTCTTGAAGTACTGCCATAACATGCTCCGGTCCGGTACGTGTAATGCAAGTCTGCAAAAGGAGGTTCCACGACTCTCGGCTTGGATCGTTGTGAAAGAGAGTAAGAATAGCTAGGGTACGCTGAGCTTGCAATCGATCACCCTGTTCAAGGTAAAAGTCGAGTAGCGTCCGCTGCACCTCAGCATCGCCAAATACATCTGGATGCTGATCACTTTCAACTATACTACGCACCAGCTCCCACTTCTGCTCCGAAACAAACTTCTCCAAAGCCAATGAAAAGACACAGCCTTGCAAAGCGATACCAGCAGCCCTAAGCTCTTCGAGTCTGCTTTGGAGTTCTTCTATAGGCTGCGTCTGTCTAGCCATTGTGAGCACAGCCAGCGGTCCAATTTCGTTCACCCCCACCATAGAGAGCCCATGTATGACGGAAGCAGGTGGGAAGGTTCGCGTTGCGAACATGCGGGCAACGAAGGAATCTTCAAATCGCACGGGTGCAGTATCAGGACCTGACAAGCGACGCATAAGCTTCTCACTGTACTTGGTTTTTTCACTGTGTAGAACCTTCCTCGTCCCTGTCACATCGACCCGTACTTTTTGGGCTAATGCTTCGACAGTAAAGAGGCGAACGACGGGATGCGATGCGACACTCTCTGACGGCATGTCATTGCGCTCAGTGCAAGTCATGTGCCAATGGCGTGCTATTGCGATGGCACGTTTGTCTATCAAAGCTGTTACCACTTCGTCATAGAGGTCCCGTTCGTTGCTATGCTCATATATTTCTCTCAAGACTTCGTATGCATCATTCTTGAAAGCAAGGCGACCTGACCGCGCCAATTCGCGCAAGGGGAGTTTCTTGAGGTTTAGGTTTTTCACTAGCGCATGGTGATATTTCAACGCTGTCCCGGGGTTCCTAGGAAGCCAATGGCTCATGGCTAGGCTGTATAAACGGGGGAACGTCTTGCCTGTCTCGCGAAGTAATTCTCCTGCATGCTCCACAACCTTTGTTATGACTTGGTGATGTTTTATGAATGTTCCCCATAGAAATTCGGCGTCTGGCGTATCCTCAGTGGGTAGCGAATAGCCGTGGTAACGAATGCTTCGCCAGACATTCCGGACGCCCTCTGCCCCATTGATCCTTTCTTCATATGCAAGAACGGTGGCGAGCTGTGTAGGATCGTCCTCCCGCGTGGTCAAAGGTACGGCATCATTCTTGAATATGTCGATTGTCGGTTTGACTGCGTTATTGGCATCGTCATTTTGAAGGGCTTCGCGAACAGACTCTCGTAGCGCTGCTTCCAGGGCTGCCTCTTTCATGCGTTTCCATTTTGGGTGTGCGAGAGGACCTGTCCGATATGTGATATTGTTGGAATAGTTGCGGTGGTGAGGGACAGAGCAGCATTTGGTGGCTGTTGAGCAAGCGGCAGGGAATTCCGAGGCATTGACAATGGATCGCAGGAGTCGCAAGGCCGACGGGCTTGCGAGGAGCCTTTCGAGGGCCGGTGGCATCAACAAGACAAGATGCGAGGGTGATACTTGTCCATTGGCGGCCGCAATCGTCTTGCGGTCCCACGCTCAAGTCTGAAGATGCGGAAAGTTGCTGTGCCCAAACGGGTCAAGGGCCTTGGCATTCGACTCTCTTCCGCCGATGGATCATTCGACCTCGCGACGTAGAGAAACCGCCCATACCACGAAACCACCAATTGCCCCCGCAAACCACGCAAACACACATCTCAACACTTCAAAATGGCAGGGTAAGTCGTGGATAGAGCTATGGACGGCATACTGGGCCGCTGGGAGCGCGGCGCCGGCCGCTTCGAGGCCCCGATATGACACACAGAGCTCGACACTGACAGCCGGCAGCTGGGTTATGCGCGAGAACCGCGTGCCTCAATGGCAGCGCGAACACCAAAAGCACGACGGACTGAGGACCTGGGAGAAGGTGCGTTGCTGGATACAAGAGAGGGCATGACATGGCTATGATGCGACCACGAAGAGCATATGCAGAGCCATTGGGATGCATCGACCTCTAGCATCGGCATAGTGGCAGGACATTTGCTGACATTTCTTGGTACAGGGCCGTGGCAAGTGGATGGTCCCCGGTTACAAGGCCCTCCTGTACACCACCTTCGGTGCTAGCATGTACATGATGAGCCGTCTTGTTCTCGTACGTGTAGACACTACCTATGGTGGAAACACCGCTAATTGTTTCTCTAGGGACACAAGACCTGGGCTGGCAAGAACTAGAGTGTACAATTCGAGCATGATATCTACACATGGCTGGACTGGGAGAGACGCATCCATGTCCACGTATAAGCATCCAATGAGTGTTTGACTTGCAAAGAGCAGCAACATCTCTCTTATTTGAATCAATAGAGCATTCCGCCTTTCGGCTCATCCTAGTCTTGATGTTCTCAGATATCGTCACCCGCTCTCGAAGCTTATACGTCCAGGCAAATGCAACATAGTAGAGCAGTGACGTTGCATTGAGCTAGGCCCGATCATGATAGTGACTTGAGTTGAAAATGGCTGGCTTCTTCGGCTTGGCTAGGTAAGTTGGCCCCAGACAATGTGATGTTGCCTTTCGGATGCGACCCGTATCGGAAGAGGGCTTGTCTAGTCAATGACTACTATTTCGACAATTTCCATTTTGCAATCCAAGGAAAAAGCATGCATATTCTCATATTATCCACTCCACTTCGGATGAAAAGTACGCGCATACGGCGCCGACGATATTGTGCCACCTTGAGGCTCTTGAATGACATCTCAAATGTGCCCCTCCATATACGGGCTAGTTCCTGTAAAATGAGGTCAGTGCCAACAGTGGACTAAAGCCGAGCCGAGATCCTTCCCCAGACCTCCTGCGCCCGCCAAAACTCCACGTACACCTGTTCATTGGGAGCTGTCAACGCAATGGCAGACTTCGTCAAGGGTCTCTTCGGGGGGCAGAAGCCTATGCCTGCCCCAGCTGCTGGTGATGATGGTATGTAGCCCCCACGCTGCCCGCACAATGGCACGCCCAGCCATTACGGCAACACAACAACATATGCGCACGCTGCTAACAACACCAGACTTTGCCGACTATGCCGGTGCTCCTGATCCCAAGCCGGCAGCCATCTCGCCTGTTACGACTCTCACCGGCGCAGCGCAGGCGGCTCCCACATCCATCGGCGCGAACCGACCGTATACAGCATGGTACCGCGTGTGGGAGCGCACAAGCATAGATGATTTCCAGCTGGAGATGTATATCCTGCCCTTCCTCTTCCTCCTTGTTGCTTTCCATCTCTGGGGCACCAACCGCAACCGAAGCAAAGCGAAGACATGGATCAAGGCACACGCCCCTGTTCTGACGCAGGAATTTGCCCAGGTCGGCTATACGCGCCCGCAATCTGAGCAGTCTGTTACGGATGTCGATAGCCTGCTCAAGGAGAAGGCTGCCGATGAGTTCCAGACCTACGCGACCGGACGCCAGAACGTAGCTTTCGTGGATTTCAGGCTTTCGTTCTCCAAGGGCTACAACCCCTTTATGTGGCTGGGAGACCATATGCTTCCTCTCTTCTTTGAGAGTTTTCCTCCTCCTGTCGAGCGTATTGGGGCCACGGCATACGTATTCGATGGCCGTGAGACCAAGATTGCTCCGTCATACGGCCAGGGCGATGCCAAGAAGGTTTCCAACAGCACTTTTGATGGCTTTGTCTTTGCCGTCGTGCACAAGGATATGATGAAGCGCATGCGTGAGGACCGGTACGACTTGTCTCTGACTACAACCCGCGATCACGCCAAGTTGCCAGTATGGACCACTGTCATGAGCGAGAGCGCCGAGGTTACGGATATGCTGCTCACCCCCGAGCTCATCAAGGCCATTGAGCAGGCTGGAGACAACTTTGAGGCTATTATCGTTACCGACCAGCCGATTGATGCGCCTAAGACGTAAGTTTATAGCGTTTCATATATGAACAAAACTAACACGACACAGCCTCGACGAAACCAAGCCTCGCAAGCGTATTCACCTCTCACTCAAGTACTCATCCGACTACACAAACACCATGCCCCTGTTCCAGTACTTCCTCCGCCTCCCCGATTTCTTGGCTACATCTGCCCACTTCCGTCCCGAAGCGCTCCGCCGCATCAAGCAGACGCGCGATGAGCAAATTGCAAAGATCCGCAAGGCCGAGGATGAGGAGAAGGCCGAGGAGCGCAAGATCGCTCTGGACAAGCTGAAGAAGGAGCAGCGCGACGCTAAGCTGGGCCGCTTGAGCGCCGAGGAGCAGCGCAAGTTTTTGGAGAAGGAGCGCGAGAAGAATGCCAGGAAGGGAATGAAGAGGAGTACGGTCAAGGCTTAGAAGGGCTTGCCTGGGAGATAGTGGGGGTGGAGGGGGGGTTGGGAAAAGATAATGCGGATGGGATGGATGGCATTTACGATTAGGTCATGTTGGAATGGATGGGATATGCATGTTGTGGTTCAAGATGTATAAGTTATAGCCCCTTCTGCGTTCTGGGGGGTTCTGTATGAAAAAATTGTGGCGAGGGTGATACCGAAGTCATTAATTGAAACACTTTTTTTGCAAGCTAGGTTTGATTCGTATACGTAAAGACAGTGGTGATGGATGTAAATTGCCAATATAGATGAACTTACTATGCGTAATGCTTTGTCTGGTGTTGAGTACAGAGTCTCATGGATATATGCCGAACGGCTGCAAATAATGTCAAGCCACGAGTTCTACTATAGCAGGGTATGACTAACCTTCATCTTCACCCTGCACCGTACGGGGGTGAGACAGCTGGAATATCTGAAAGCTAGAATTGTAGATAGGGGGTTAAACTGGATAGACTTTTTTTTTAAAAAAAAAATCTCACAAACTGGGATCATGTTTGCTGATGTGTATACGAAGTCGGTGATTTTATTTACTCAAGATTTGGATTTAATAGACTTCGTCCAAGGGGTTATAGGTAGGCCTGTGTATTGGCGTAATGCTATGAGGGTGGTGCTACTTGGGGAGATTTGTATTTGTGATGTAGAAGTTTGTTGAAGAATAACATTTTTTTATGACTTGTACGAATTTTCGATGCTGAGTTTTACCAGTAGGTAAGGTCTCATAATGCTGGGGCGAGGCGGAATTCGGTGTCATGTTCAGAAAAAGGTAGCTCTTCTAAAGACTTGAGTTTGGTCGATGGGTGGTTTTTTTGTGGTTCGTCTCTCTTTTTTTTGCATATATTTGACTGCTTCTTTTTTTGAGTAGGAAGTAGGGAGGAGTGGATGGATAGAGTGGTTTGCTTGGGTCTAGAAGTATATATCTGACTTTTGTTCAGAATACTAAGTGTTTTAGCTAAGATATTGTAGATATTTTCGAGTAAAAGAAAGGTGGATATCTAGGTAATGTGGAATATCTGGTAAAATTTTTTTTTCTTCGTAGAGATTAATGATAGGAACTAGTTCAACTGATATGTCTACTTTCATACATCTTTTTTCCCTAGAAAGCAGTAATGGTGACTATTGAAACCGTCGTATTTGCTATTACCACTTCTTCTTTTTCTATACCTATTTTCTCGTTTTTAGGTATAGAAGAACAGTGAGATTTATAAAGAGTTCAGCAAATCTAGTGTCATGGATTTAATATTAAGTTCTTTAGATAGCTTGTATAGTGTAGGATAGACAGGGAAATAGTATTTGTCTCATTAGTAATGAGGGAGGAAAATATCTCTTCGGTGAGGGCTTAATGTATAGGCATATTGTGGAGTAAAAGTTTTATGAATTTAGGTTATTTTTTAAGATTTTTCTATGAGAAAAGGGAGGTAGTATGAATCAAGACTACAATGAACAAGGACATAAGAGATAGCTAGTTAGTTTTCGGGATATGGGAATGAGGAGCTCAATTTCTAATTATTTTGTAGAAGACGATGTAATTGTTGTATATAGGAACTTGTTATGTTGTCTGTACTTCACGTGAGGATACATATAAGTGTATAACAAATATCAATATTTCCCCTATGGTGTAGATATATCTTCTTAGTGTCCAGTATTTAGTAATGTCCTTGCTGAATTAAATTTAATCAACTTTTATAGTGCATTGCCAGATGTGGACTGTTTCTAAAAAAATTAAGAGCTTGTAGAATATCGATATTGATGCTCTGGTACCTACCACTCAGGCGTATGAAAATGCCCTTGAACTAGCCCATCTTTCGTAGGAGCACATAGAATACACAATTTTTTTGTCGAGATTTGTTCTGCTATATCGACAAGGCAAGATATTCCCATAGTTTGGATTACTCTTCTTTGCACCAATGATTTTATTGATCGACATTTCTTTGGTAACCCCGCCTAATGGTCAAGAGCACTATTGACGAACGAGTTCCATGGATGACCTACAAGACAGCACTCAACAAAAGATTGACTCGTTCTTCGACTTTTCCGTGGGTTGTTTAGTCAACAAACGTTGATTGTATCTGCAGCTAAATGCATACAACAACTCTCTACGAGCTCGAATGGGGATTCTTCCAACTACACTAATGCAACAAAATGCGCCCGGGTGTTACAAGATGAGGCGACGCCTCGCAGGTCATGTAAACTAGTGCAAGATGATAAGCGTGCTTAGATGTTGATTAGTTGGTAAGCAGCCCATACATGGCACTATTGCTTTGTTGTTCCGGGGAAGTTGGAGGGTGCGGTGCGGTGCGGCGGGACTAGAGAGCTTGGTGCAGGGTAGCTTCCAGGTCTTGCAGTCTGCTCTTGCTCCCACTGGATAGCCGAGACACACAATACTACTGCGGGCAAGGCAACTCATCACCCACCATCTGCAAACACATCAACAAACACACGGCTAAACAAACAAACAAACAAACAAACAAACACAGTACGACTCAGAAGCGCCGATTCATCTATACGAGATCGATGTCGAGACCTGATACACGGGCCTTCGGTAAGCCGAGCAGTCCGGCCAGGGGGCGCTGCTCTTTGGACGGCGTTGGGGGACACGGCGGCTCCTCAAGATTACCGTCCCAGGATGGCCTGTCGCCTCACTAAAAAGAAAGGTGACAACGCAGGCAGAGAAACCGGTTTTTCTGTGACGAGCAGTCGGAGAAATGGAGATTTTTGGAGCAAAGAGGCGGACTTCTAACATGTCGTCGCAGCACGGCCATGGGGAACCCTGCCTGGTGGGCTGTCGACATGTCAGTTCACGACAGCATGGTGGGATGCGGGCAATAACGGGAAGAGCATGGCAGACATGAGCGACAGTGGCAGAGAGGACAATTGGGCAGGCGGGCAGAACGGTCCACTGTGATGAAACTGGAGGTGCCGCGCGTGCTGCATGTCAGGGCTGGGCGCACACCATGGGGGAACGATGGATGATGCGGCCATGGAGAACCACGGTTCGTTGGACTGGGAGCTGTTTGTTGACACCCAGCACCAACAGACACACACACACGCACACACACGGACACGGACACGGGACAAGCGAGGGAGCTGAGCAGAGCTTTTCACGTGATAGTCCGGAGGATCCGTGATCAACAGCAAGCCACGGAGCTTGGGCGCTGCAGCTTGGGCGCGCCAGCAGCCAATGATGACGCGCCAAAAAGTGGGAGGCTGGGGAGAGGCTGGAGCTATGCAGAGCTGGCTGCGGTGCAACATGGACAGGCTCAGCTGAAAATGGCGCGTATGTGCGCATTATCGACGACATGACGCATGGCAGAGGCTGGGCGGGCTCCAATTGCAAATGCACACGCAATACAAGACCGTCCGGCCCTCGTGTGGTGGTCTGTTGGCGGCAATGGTCAATGGCGCTTCAGCCAGGTCGGGGAAGCTCCCGGCAGCCCTGTGGAGCAGCGCGTCGATGGAGAGTAGCGATTGCGACACCTTGGGGTACCTTGGGCCATGCATCGCCGGGCCAACAGCCGTAGATGGGATAATGGCGCGTCAGCAATTGCCTCGGTGCCAAAAGGGCCGTCAATTGATGGATGCCAGGCGTCTGTCCGCCCACGGCACAGGCAAGAAAGGGGATACTGCTACGCGCTAGTGCCCGGCGTAAACAAGACCTTCCCGCTCTTGGACAGCTCTGCAAGAGCTTCCCAGCCTCCACAACCCTGCGGAGACGAGACGGCACACCCAGCAGAGGCCTAACTGACCGCCAATCTACTTGATCCCCTCGTCGGTTTTCCTGACTCCATCTCTCCTCCACCACTACGACACCCCGCTTACTGCATCCAATTGCGCATCTTCAAGCTGCTGCACGTCAACACCACAAAGCTGGCGCCCCCCGAGTAAAATCGCCCATCACCAATTTCTCTCCACGTGAGACCTTAAAAAGGAGCCAAGAAGTTCTTTCTTGATTCCTTTCGAATTGTTTTCGAACGGTTCGAAGGGTTTTCAAGCAAGAACGACCAGACTCCGTCAAACTGGATTTTGAAGCACGAGTACGCCGTTTTCCCCGCGCCCTAGACTTGAATAAATAAGGAATTGTGCTAATTCGAGGCAGGTTCCGATCCCCTTCAGTGTCTTCCCGTCTGCGTATCGGAACGCGGAAGTTAAGGACTCTACCAGTGTTCAGGTAGAACAAGAAGCACATCTTGAATACCAGGCTTCACACGGACGGGAAGGTCACGAAGAAATCCACGAATCCTTCTCCGCTACCGTTCATCGGCCACATCCTCCTCCTCCCAAATCGACCACCTCGTCTTCATCTTCATCATCTTCTTCGTCGTCATCATCCTCGTCGTCTTCTTCCTCTCGCTCTAAGCGTCGCCACGACACTCAGGTCAAGGAAGAGGTTCGCATCTACGAACAAGAGCGAATCCGCCGTTCCCAGCCTGCTCAGTCGCAGCACGCTCATTCGCAGCACGCTCAGTCGCAGCACTATCAAGAGTCGACTCACCAGCACGTCCACGCTCAGCAGCAGCCTGTTCAGCACCGTGAAGAGGTTCATATCCACGAGCACACCCGCTACGCTCAGCCTCAAGCCCCTGCCCCAGCTCAAGCCCAGCACCAGCAGCAACGCGCTCAGTCGTACGCCCAGTCGCACGCTCCGTCGCACGCTCAATCACACGCGCAGTCGCACGTTCAGTCGCACGTTCAATCGCACGTTCACTCTCACGCCGCTCAATCTCACGCCCAGCCTCACCCTGAGCAAGCTCAGCACGCCCAGCGTACGGACCGTGTAGAGTTTGAACGATCCCACGACCGGTAAGTAAGCTCCATTGTTTTGCCAGCGCATCTTCGCACGGATCATCACAACAGACCAGCCCCCTGACGCTAGCGGCACCCAGCCCCCTCGCCACGCTAGCCTCATTAGTTTGTTGTTGTCCTAGCGACATGCAGTCCCCACTTTTCCCTCACCTCCTCTAAGCTCTT